AAGTATCCCATTATTTTTGGTATTAGTTGTTCAAAGTCATTTGGTTAAAAAAAACTCATGATTTTGAAAATGTAACAAATCAAAGTACATTCACTTGGCATGATTAATAAACTCAAATTAGCATTAAGTACTTGACCAAGTCGAAGACCACACACTACGCTTATGATCAAACAAAAATAAAAAGAAAGAATGAAAACTTAAAGAACCACTGCTGACACGATTCTATGCCAATTACAGTGACTAAAATGCGGAAGCTGAGGTTGGTTGGTTTTTTAATAATAGTTATTAGTACTATTTTTACTTATTGGTCTATCCATTAAACGAATGAATAGCCGTTAGTAAACTAGTAACTGACCATACTATATATGTACTAATTATACTATTTGACTGCACTCAGCTCGGTAAGTAGACAGTAACTCGAACTAATGAGCTATGGCTTCGTTCATCTAGTGAGCAAGATTGAAACTAATAGTTTAGACCACATAAACCATGAACGTCTATGAGTGGTAAAAAACCCATATTAATGCGCACATAGAATAGATGGGATATGGATAGGAATGGGATCCAGGATGCGTGCTTCATTCTACTTAGGATTCATCAGTCAGATATACTTAAGTCCCAGGGTTGGTGTTCACTTTGGTACTCGGACCTATTATCTTTTGCTTCGAACCCTCAAAAAGTTATCCCTTTAGATGCAGAGTCCAGATAGCCACTCATTTATGAGATGGTTATGCATATTAATCTAATATTTAGTGATTGTAATACACAGTTTAGGCTAAAACCATCCGTTCATGAAGTAAATTATTACTACGAGCCGGTTTGAAACACATATCAATCTATCCTGTTATATATATCATATTAGATTTATTTACACTCTCACGATTAATTTTAATTCATTTCAGAAAACAATGAAAGATCATCTAATGAAAAGGACTCTCAAGCACCGGTTGTTACTGTACAAAAGAATCGACTATATGTACCTACGTACTTATATAAACATAAAGCTAATTAGCCCTTCTGGCCAGCTCCTGTGACAAAAACCAACACCTTTGTCAATATATGAGTCTGAACATTTAGATGACAGTTATTGTAATGATTCTTGTGTTAATATAAAAGGTTCGATTTCTAAATCATTTCGTTTGTGTCTTGTGTGAAAACAGAATCCTGTTAGATTAATTTAGTTTGTGACACTAAATTTCAGAAAAATACCCTGCTCCTGACGTAGCAGGTTTGCACCCAAATGCGGTACGGTCGAGACGCTCCCACATGGCCACGCACACAAAGCCACTGCCAGGGAAGTCCTACTCACTGCCTTCTCGCGGCATTTGTGTTGTTCACGAAATTAAGAGGTAGAAAAACGAATGTACGGCACTTTAACTGGACCGGTGGATATGGAGAGTCCACCTAGGGGAGTTGGAAAATCCTGATCCCAAACCAATGGTGCATATGGGCTCCAGGATCCTGAGGGAACAAAAGGTGTATAAACCAATTGTCGATCACCGGCTACCACGGGACTGCATCTCCTGACGTTGCCCCACTGCCTTGTGGATCAGACCTTTAGGTCGAAGGCTCTGTGTGGCCTCATAAGGAAGCCACCTTCTTCGATCTGGGTACCCAGGCAGTATTATAGTCCACACATTAATCAAGCGATTTGTGTGGCGCATATGTATTTGGTTCACCTTTGTACCAATATTTGTGTTCAAATAAATAACAAATGAATACAAAACGGAACATATCGATACACTACAGTGCAACTCAACGTAGCTAAGTCATTCCTAAGGATCAGGTGTACTCTAAGCATTGACCAAATCACGTTCCCGAACGGCTCATTTACAGGTTTCTGAGTTTCATGTAAGTTATCTGAACAAGAATTGAACGACATTGTATAGATTAACAATCAGTCGAATAATACACTATACTACATCGTTCATATTACCAAAATAACACCGATATTCGTGAGCTATTTGATGATAAAGTGTGATGAGACTCATAATTAAATACGATAAATACTCGATATGTTTAGTTTTGAAACGATGAGCATTTACAACACATGAATATCTTATATCCGAATTATTGAAGATAACTGGTACTTATAGTTTCTGATCATGAGGAATCACTAGAATACTAACTTAGTAATGTGTTGATAAGGCGTGAATATTTCAAGCAGACAATCAACGAATGCGAATTCTTCTCTCTCTTAACTAGGCGCAGTTGATCTACAGGAAGTTGGATCTCTGCTTGAAAATTTATTAAACCCAACAGAAAATCATTATGTGTAGCAACGGTGTATTAATTTATGAGTAAAGTGCATGGAAACAGGACGAAAAATTAACGTAATAGAACATTCCTCAAAAAATGTAGAAAGTCAATCAATCAGTGGTAAACATAGAAGATACAAAGTATCGGGAAATCTAAGCGAAAACATTAATTACACGACCAAGAAGTAGTAGTCGAACTAAGGCAAAACGATATGCGCACAATCTTGAGTCGATAGAAACCCCATCCAGTATTATAGTTTCCTTTAACAAAAAGACACTTTGCAGTGGACTAGCATTGACATAATTCCTTAAGCTTTGTATATCAAGCACCCTGATAACCGTTATTAAATAAGTCCCAATGGTGTACAAATTTAGAAGACAACACAAAGCACCAACCAGTTTATTATTGAAAAGTACAGATCAATAACCCACAAACACACCGAGCGAATTCCAGCAGAAAACTGACGCGCGCAAGCGAGCGAATACAGAGGTGAATTGGAAGTCGAATCAATTAACAAGATTCGAGTGCATACATATATATGGAAAGCGATGCGAAGCGCAGACTGTCGTGGGAAAAGTGCAAAACGATGAGAGATAGAGAAGGCAACAAACCAGCCCGTTTTGGCAAACGAGACTCGATATTTATAGGCAAACAAAAACAAGCTACAGACATGTGATGAGTAGAATAAGCAATACACACACATACGTCCATATAAAAAATCAAGATTAATAAGTGAAAAATTTACATGGTCAAAATGTCACTCAAAAAAAGCGAATAAACTGGTCTATCTCGACATATACAAACGGAAAAGCAAGATTCTCCGATACAACACAACATGCACCAATCAAATCACAATTGACGGAGAAGCTTTGGACGATGTAAAAACCTCTACATATCTGAGCAACATCATTGATGAGCACGATGGATCTGATACAGATGTAAAAGCGTAGATTGGCAAAACAAGAGCAGCTTATCTACAACTGAAGAACATCCAGAAATCAAAACAACTGTCAACCAAAACCAAAATCAGAATTTTCAAAACAAATGTCAAGATGGTTCTACTGTATGGGGCGGAAACTTGAAGAACTATGAAAGCCATCATCTAGAAGATACAAGTGTTTATTAACACTTGTCTGTGAAAGATACTTCGGATCCGTTGACCAGACACTATTAGACACTGACAATTTACTGTGGGAGAGAACAAAACAGATTACAACAGAGAAAGAAGCGCTGGAGGTGGATAGGACACACATTGAGGAAAGCACCAAACTGCGTCACAAGACAAGCCCTCACATGGAATCCTCAAGGCCGAAGGAGAAGAGGAAGATCAAGGAACACATTACGCCGGGAAATGGAGACAAACATGAGAAGAATGAACAACAATTGGATAGAGCTAGAAAGAAAGGCCCAGGACAGAGTGGGTCGGAGAAAGCTGGTTGGCGACCAATGCTCCATTCGGGGTAACAGGAATAAGTAAGTAAACTGGTCTGTCCGGAAGCTGGAATAACCTATATGGGCTTGATATGGTACAAGATGATACAATTTATATGTAACTCGGAATCATCCATGTGAAACCCCAAGAAGATCTGATAAAATCACAAATCTTAACTTCGGGATCTACTACTACTTAAACCAATAATCCGATAACAAAGAAAACATCTCTGATGTTTAATAATAAATGAAACTCAACAGTGTGTAACAATAAAACAGAAGTCAAGCAAGTTAAGTAATCAAGGCATCTCTATGGGACTAGAAACAGATGAAAATAACATTGCTTCGAATTTGAAGAATCAATATATTGAGGCTTAAACAAACACTTTCTAATTCCACTTGAAAGAACTAAGGGTGAAATTGCCCATCAAAAATCAACCAGTATATTTTATTGTTATTAGCAACAGGAAAGCATCAAATTATCCCTTTATTGAGAAAATCGCAAGTAATTAGTAAGCGAGTTATAGATAGCACATCACTCAGCCGAACTAAAATTTGCTGTTGAACATGGGCTTCACTCTAGCCTCAATTAACGATTTTCATTTCAGTTGAAACAACAGGCTTGTAACTTTTAACGCAATGTCAACAGAAGTGGGATGAAGATCTACATTACGACGAAAAGTTCGAAAACTATAACCGTCATTTGTAAGCTATTCTACTGACTAAAGAGAACAGGTTCAAGAACATAATTTTAAGCCGGTTCATATGTATGGGTTAGTAATATCACATACGTAAAGCAACTTTGAACCTGTAATTTAATAATTGAAATCGAGAGGTTTGAACATTATAACACAATTTATTTACCATAACTTGGAGCTAGTAAACCACCACACAACCACTAATATTACAACCAATCAGAAATAAATGAGAACAATATTCATCTATCCACGTGGAGACAATAAACATACAATATATTAACCAAACTTAATTGAAAATAACATTTTGTGACAAGTCACTTAAAGTGGTATGTTTTTGAAATACGGAAGTTCACGGCGCCAAATTTTTTCTAGCGCATCAAGAGCTTTCTGCCCAAGAGGTAAATCACCATAACGATCCACGAATGATTGTATTACACCGGCATAAGTTGTAGGATATGATATTAGTTCAACACCGTAAGGGGTTTTACGGAGTCCAGGTTGAACGAAAATAGGTCGAGGTTTTTTGCGATTAATCACAATTTGGCGCAACTTAATATGTTCTGGTAGCAACTGACAATAATGTTGGAAGAAGGCGCAACCATCTTTAGCATTGGCTGTACTTTTATAATACTGAAACAAAAGAATTGAGAGAAAGCATTCAAACAAAATGTTTTCAGTGAGTGAAACTTTAGAAAATAATGATACTACCAAGAAATAGTTCGTCAGCTATCCATTCATCATCGAGATAGAGTCTGGCACATAAACGATTTGGGCCAAGTTGTCATATCACGTTCCAATAGGCTATTTATCCAGACTTTAAAAGTCAACAAATGAAAGCAACCACACATAGAGTAGTATCTAGCATGAATGCACTCATACACATTGACATACACTTTATCAGCATAATGAGAGAACCAAGAAAATCAAAGATTGAAAAATAAAAAAATTGATAACACTCGTTGAGAACGAAAGAAGAGACTTGAAAGATGAGTGAAACATATGAATAAACAATTTATGATTTTGGAAACCAGAGATGATTGTATTTGGGCCACTTTGACTTATCTTAAGTTATAACACTTGCAATATTTGACAATGAATAACAATAATTCCATTCAAGAAGCTTTCTTAGAAACCTTGGACCAAAAGTCAGTGGTTTTATAAATTGATGTCATGCTACGACATAGAATTTGTTAATCTTATTCGTATCAACTCTTTGTAGCAGTAAATAAACCCCCTACTATATATAAATTTTTTTATTTAAAAAATTTAGTATTTTATATATTTTTATTTTTTGTTTTAAAAAACAAAAAAACCATATTATAAAAATCCTGTTTTACGCTATTACGTGAGCATGAGTTTATTTTCCATTTTTACACTCGCATTGTGTTCTTACGCACGTACGAGTGTATTTCCACATGCCCTTACATATTTTTTTCTTTTCCAGGACGGCTGAAAAAGACGATAAAAAGAACGATCAAGTTTGCAAGAAACGGGAATCTTCATTGTACTTTTTATTTCTTTACTATATTGTACTTCATGGTCCATTATAGTAAGGAAAGACGACCAGATGCTGCTAAACCTAGCAAACTATCAGAAGTGTTTACCGACGACAAACTCGTTGGGTTTAAACTTCCGGCTGGCCACGTCTTAGAGTCATCACTACCTCACTAGGGGGGAGTGATCTGTAGCGGTAAATAAATCCCCAAAATCAATAGCTCTGTATGTCTTCGGCATTGGATGCTGACCACATTAGTTTTAATGAACTCATTTAGCTGAAGGCGCTCGGTCATGCATCCGCATCAGATCACGTGTGGGAACACCGTGCTCAACATCTACTGCAATCGCTAGCCAGATTAGACCAGACGATCCTCGATATATTGATAGCTTATCAAATAGATCTTCGAACCCCCTCACTTCTGTCTTTTGGTTTCACTTGGTGGGTACGCTTCATATTAGGTGTAACTGGTTAAAGCGTTGTCAACTCCGAATACCTGTGGCATCTTCATCTTGAAGTCTTCAGAATGGCACAGTAACGTGCCAGTATATGCACATGCACGATACATGTCTACTCATAAGAATCCATAAAAACTTGAAACGAAAAGGTCTTACCTGAATTTTTCGTAAAAATTCGCCAATTGCCGGACGACCCACTGTCAAAAGCTTTTGGCGATCTAAGAAAATAGTTAAATCAGGTGCACCATCATCACCAACTATTTCGTCTACACGTACCAGAGAATTGTCAGCTTCAATTAAAACCTAGTAAAGAATAAACAGTATATCTAAAATTGATATAACAGTCAGGAGTAATATACGTAGCATTTAGTGATATTGAAGAAATGAAAGAAATTATAGATATTAGCTACCCACACCACTAGACATTATGATTTCAAAGATTGGCACAAGTAATCGGATTCTAAAATGCTTCCTCTGAAAAGAACTCACGATGTATTCAAATATGAATCAATTATTTGCTTAAATCCACACGTATGACGCGATAAAAGTAATGATATTGATAAAAACATTAACCTAAAAAAACTACATAACATTATAAGCCTAAGAAAAGGAAGATAAACGTAATTTTCCAGAAAATGGAGTTTTATCCTTCAGCTAATATAACTTAGAAGAATGTCAATAATACGAGGAGAGAAAGTAGGAAGTACTATGGGTTAGAAAAAGATATATCTAGTTGAATGAACATCATGATGAAAATTGAGTTGATAGATTTAAAACTCACAAAAAGCATAGTAATCTCTCATTATTAATCATTGTACTACGTAATGACCAGAGGGAAAATGTATTAAGTGTTTTATTTGAGCTTACATCTAGACCAACCAATGAGAATATAAGCGCAAGAAAACAGAAAGGTGGTGGCATATTTTACTAAGCAGGAAGATTCACGAAGTCAAAGTTTAGTGTAACTTGAAAAACTTTCTGAAAACACTTACCCGCAAAATTGCATAACGAGCACAGCAATGTGCTTGACGCCACGAACCAATATCACCAGCGTTTTCTGCAGGTGAATAGAATTCCATAGAAGTTACGCCTGAACGAACCATGGACAACCAATTAACGTAAACAACATCTGGAACACTGTCTGTGGAGCAATTAGTATTAAGATTAAACTGTTCCAAGACAAGTGGTAAATTGCATAGATAGATTCCAACACATTCAGCTCGACATTCTTCAATTGCCGAAGACAAACTCGAAAATTTACTGTCGTATGTTTCGCCTGGTTCATACCTTAAGAGTTAAAGAAAATACCACTGATGAAAGTCACTGTCAGGAATTTTACCCAGAAAAAATGTAGTGATGTGAATCTGCTTCATCACCTAATTTGTATTTAAGTGACTTTTCGTACCCAATACGAAATTATAAGTCAAGAAAAATTGCTATAATCACACTATTTTATGATCAACACGTAATTTTCTTCACCTTCACAAGGATGACACATTCACTGATAATCAGACTGGCTCTCTTCGAACAGATACGTATGAAAACATAACATTAATATCGACCTGAGTAGTGCTAACATTAGGTGACTAGAAATACCAATTATAATTAGTTCATAACAAATTCCAAATTGAAAATAAAACCCTTACTTAAACTGTTAGTTTAAATGTAACAAGACAGTCAGTACATAGTATTCCTTCTATAGTAATTTGTCGAGATCCGATTCTCTACTTTGGCTACGCAAAACATGATCTACTGATTAGTTCCACCTATAATGGTAAATCAAACTATTCAGAGTACTGTTTTTTTAGTGTATACTCCGACTCATAATCTTGTGAGCGCTAACTTTACAGTTGCGGCAATAGTTAGGAATAATGAACAGATACTTCAGTGTATTTGTTCTAGGTAGATTACGATGGAAACTAAAACGACAGAGAATTTATTTACGCTACAACCCATTGGCAACTTTTAATAAATAAAAAATGAAATAACAAAGAATGTACATTGGGAACGACCGATAAGGACATTAATTTAATATGAAAAGGTTACTCGAATGCATTTGAGTTATCTACTGACTTATTCTATTATCTTAATAAAGGCCAGCAATTGACTAACGCTGCCTTCATAAGCAGATAGAGGCTTTCCTATTTTAGTTCAAACGAACTGACGCCTATTCCCACTAGGATTATGAGTTATCACGAGGAACCACTTTTAGGGGTATATGCTGCAAAATCGAACCATGAGATTATTCACATTTCCTTTAGTTACTCCATTAATGGAAAGTCTAACTAAGAAGTCGGTGGTTAAGTTTCCTACAATCAACGACCGCTATAACATTAGTGTCTTAACGACCTAACAGATTTACCTGATGCACTGAGATTTGGTGATACTACTCAACTGCTGAGACCAAAATGGACGAACGTTGATGCAATGGATGGAAGTCAAGTCCCTAGATCATGGTTGCGCACACCTAAACAACACAAAATCCTGTATTCTGGTTTTGTAATGACCAAGTGTACTAGATAAAAATGATAGGTTGACTAATGAGGCAATATATCTGTATCAAATGAGGCAGTTGTGACGTGTTACGTATCTCCGATTACGGCCTAACTCAACGGGAGATGTTATCCGGTGAAGTAGGCTGAGAGAAAATAAAGGAATGACCAAACAAAAACACCGCATCAGTCCATAATCATTGATTATCGGACTGAGCCAAAATAATGGGTGTACACTACACGATCGGGGTCCACGTAGTAATCGTAACCATTGGTCAGAGACCGAATAAAATGGTTAAACACCGTTTCCAATAGCACAGATGCATCCGTAAAATATTTTCCCCCAAATTCCTAGTTTCTGAATTCCTCACAATTTTTGTTTATTTCACTAATTTACATTATTTCGATTCGTATTTTTGATGCTTAATATTTTGTAATACCACTAATACAGTTACTACCCCTACTACTCTGGAATTTGACCTAAAAATTTCATCTGGCTGTGCTGAAGCGTGAGAACTTGAACCGATGTACTTATGTATCATGTTATTACTTTATTTATTTGAATATTGGTACAAAGGTGAACCAAATACATATGCGCCACACAAATCGCTTGATTAATGTGTGGACTATAATACTGCCTGAGTACCCAGATCGAAGAAGGTGGCTTCCTTATGAGGCCACACAGAGCCTTCGACCTAAAGGTCTGATCCACAAGGCAGTGGGGCAACGTCAGGAGATGCAGTCCCGTGGTAGCCGGTGATCGACAATTGGTTTATACACCTTTTGTTCCCTCAGGATCCTGGAGCCCATATGCACCATTGGTTTGGGATCAGGATTTTCCAACTCCCCTAGGTGGACTCTCCATATCCACCGGTCCAGTTAAAGTGCCGTACATTCGTTTTTCTACCTCTTAATTTCGTGAACATAAATGCCGCGAAAAGGCAGTGGGTTTATGCGCGTGGCCATGTGAAAGCATTTCGAGAAGGGAAGCGGACCCTCGACCGTACCAGGGCATTTAGGGGGTTTTACGCCGCCACTGACTGGTGTTAACGATAAAAATAAAGGAACAAAATTTTTGTGAGTTCGAGTGCGAATAAACATACAAGTGGATGACACTTTCCTATTGTCCATACTTCAGAATATGTTTATCTCCATCTACCTATATTATGATGAAAATACAAGCCGGTTGAGTAAAGGCTAAAAGCCGTAACATAACATTACTAATTCGCCACTTTTGTATCATATTCACAGTTTACTCTTCCCCTAACGTTGATATTACTATTTCGTTGATTTCTTATCACAGATGTAAATTGCGGCAACTTAGACAGAAGCACATTTGTGTCATTTTAAATTGCCATAACTGTCTGCATATGCTCACGTTTAATGTGCTACAATTTTTTGACATTAATTAATTGGATATCTATAGCAAATATATCGATCAAAGAGATCTAAGTTTACACTAACGGCTAGAATTATATACCACTTGTTACTCGGTAGATATAAGAAAATAGGGAAGGTAGCAATAATAATAACCATAGGAAAGTGAAAGTAACCGACATACCAACTACGTATGGGACCTCCACTAATGATATCTTTCGTAGAATTTGTGTCAAAATTTAGTATTCCGTCGCCACTACGTTGAAACAGCTTCCCAGAACCATGGCCTAACAATTCATGAAGTCCGACTTGAAGTTCGAAAGAACTCTCCGCATGATCCACATACAACTTTTTGTCTTCCTCTCGAATGAATTCTGATTTAGGGTCCTAATACGAAAAATAGGTTATACAAACAGACTTTACCTTGAAACGAGCACTGAGTACATTCCCCAAGGATACATTTTTAAATCCATCAACTTGGCGCACATCATCATAGTTAGGAATGTTAATTCCAACAGGGATTCCTGAGGTTGCAAACGTTACTACGTCCAAACTTGTAAAGTCTGGTTGTAAGAACCTGTCTTTTTCGTAAGTAGAAGGCCATGGCAAATTAGACAGTAATTCAACAGCATTATCTACTAGCCGCTGAAATTTAGATGACATTGATCGATTCACAACTGCGACAAATGACTCGAACTCCGCACGTACACCTAAAGGATCACGATAAGTTTCAATAAAGCCAATGTAATTTTCAACTACAGGGCATTTGTCCTTGACCCATAGTCTAGAAGCATCTTTGTGAGAGTCTAAGGACCCAGTACAAAAGCTCTGAGCATAATGATCCCACATTTCTGATTCGATTTTGTTAAGAGAGTGTGCTTTGGCATCTAAAGAGCAGTCAACCAGTAACTCCATAAGTTCGCAGTAGTCACCGTACTCGAGCTGTAAGGAAGTTCCCAAAGGAAGGGCATCAAAATGTACAGGTTGAACTTTTTTCTCAGCCGACGCAAACCGGATCGAATAAACTTTGGAGTTGGAGTTACTACTCTTAAAAAGTCGGGTATTGTACGCCTCAATTTTAACGTTTTCCAGATATTTTTGAACTAGTTCAGCTTCACTTCGAATACAGTCCTCAGAGTAATAAGACGTAATTTCAGTGGGACCAAAACCAAGGCGTAAACGGCGAGGAATTAATGAATAGATGGATGGAGCTATTTCTTTCCATAAGTCTTTAAGACCAGTTTCTGAGTTAGAAAATCCACTGCTTAACGATAAAAATTCTGTTACCCGGTCGACATTGATAGCTGGGATGAACTTGGTGTCCCCAAAAGACAAGTAATTCCCGAAATTACCCAGCACTGAGGCAAAATAAGATAAAATATGAGTTATTTCTTCATCAGAAAAATTATTTTTTGTCGCCTTTTCAACAAAGGAATGTACGTTCTCTAAATGGAAAAAGCGACTGACAAACAAAAATATCCCGGCAGACTCAGGAGACGTTTGAATCAATCCTATGAGACCTCCAATCCAAGACGCTTGTGTGCAGCTGAAAACATAATCCTTTTCCACATTGCTAAGTGATTTGAACGCTTCAGTAACATCAAGATAATGAACGGGAGGAGGTACATTGATATAGAAGTCCATATTACGATAAAGTATATGCTGTTTGCAAGCTCTGAGTATGCTAACAGAATGAAGATAGCGTATTGCTGGTCTGAAGACAGACTGGAAGTGAGAGAAAACCTACAAGGGGTGCAAACAGTGATCCTGATAATAGTAACTCACAAAGATTATATCAAGAACATGATAAAAGTTTGTATTGACCACTAATTAGACAAGACAAAGAGGTATAGTTATACCAGATGAATTCAAAGAATCGCACAAACCGTGATATTTTAATAAAATTGGTGGAATCCCACCTCAAATAAATCTCTACAACCTTGCTGCACCAAAATAGCTCACAAATGACCATCTAGATCTATATAAAACATGTTCAGCAAAAATCTGAATGTAATAAGGGTTCTATGAAACTGATATACATGTAGCCAATGTTATTACACTCCCTATTTACTTGTCGAATACAAAAAATAAGGCAAAACAACTAAACAAGCCAAAATAATACTGGTTCAACAAGTTTTTACAGATGATTACATATAACACGAGACACTACTAAGTATCCCACCATACAAAAGGTTGTACAGCCAATCTTATAAGGCACTACGTGGCAGAAGTGTACATGAAAACTCGAACAAAACTAATTGACGCACTAGGCATCAGATATACAACACTAATCTTGAAATCGTTAGTCTTCGGCAATAAGGATAGGTTTATTAACCTATATTAATCCTTGTAGTTTGCAACACTGGGAGGTTGATGTTTATATTTATTTATTTATTTTAACACATAAGTATAGGTACAGGGAGGCACCAAATACATATGCGCCACACAAATCTCAATTGATTTGTGTGAGGGCTGTGATACTGCTCGGGTGCCCAAACCGAAGCAGGTGCTTTTCTTAGGGGGCCACACCCCGAGCCTTTGACCTGAACGTCTGACCCACAAGGCAGTGGAGCATCGTAAGGAGATGCAGTCCCATGGTAGCCGGTGACCAACGATTGGTTCATACGCCATTTGTTCCCGCAGGATACTGGAGCCCATGTGCACCATTGGTTTGGAGTCCGGTTAAAGCGCCAGACATTCGCTTTTCGTCCTCTCATTTTTGTAAACAACACCCCCGCCACGTGAAGGCAGTGAGTAGGACTTCCCTGGCAGAGGCTATATACACATGGCCATGTGAGAGCATTTCGAGAGGGAGAGCGGACTCTCCCCACTCTAGCCCGTACCAGGGCATTTGGGGGCGGGAGGTTGATGTCGTTCTGGATATATCGACAGGTGCTGGTTTTACGTATTCTGGTAAAAAGTCCCAGTAATTCACTACATGGTACGAAGGACGAAACGCCAGACGCTGACGATTTGATCTCATTTTTTTTAACTTTCTTAGAAAGCCTTCTTTGAAATCAGTTAGGATAGTTAGGATGTCAAAGAAATTTCGACCTACATCGAGTTCTTGAAATTCACTGATAGATTTAGAGTTCAGAAAATAATTTTATGTCTATATACGAAACAAGCCTCAATATTTTCGTATCACAAATAAGTATAATGAGACGCAAAATTTTGGAAAGTCATTTTGAATGAACATTCCTACATTCAGACCTAAGTTCGCTTTCTACTGAAAGGTGACTGTGAAGCCTCTAACAAATGATTTTCGTGTAAAATATATCACAATTGTGACTCTTGACATGATAACGTAAGTTATCATATCAAGAATCTGAGTGGCTGGGACAATCTATGTAAATGTAAACTGACTATGTGGTTTTTAACCAGTTAAATTAAAATTTAAAAGCAAAAGGCGCAGACTCATAAAATTACACTTAGTCCCCAGCGGAGAAGAAACTATAAGAACTATAGTTGATGTAAACCCAACCTTCCCGCCAACAGGTAACTCGTCTGAATGGTTCAAATGGTTGTGGACAGAATAAAAGAAGCTTTCGCTTAAGAGTCTTCCTTTTCTAGTACAGTGGATCACCAATACATTCAGGCAGGAACCTAGGTATATTGACGATAATAGAGGAAAAATAAGTTGGTAAATCATAGTAGGACACTATCCTTGGTACTCAAGAATAGGTCAAGTTTCCTCGTAAAGGACTCCTGAGAATTCGCTTAGACAAGCTCAGCCGGCAGCGAATTCCAGCATCTGACAACTCTTTAGGAGTATATTATTCTATTCCCAACCAGAATGTGTTCTTCCGAAGTGCTGATGATCATGTAAGGCGAGTCAGTGTAGACACTGATGTGACTTCCACGTGATATCTTATAGATTAGGTTGTCACATCATGCAAAATCTGCAGTTTTGGGGTCGGGTTTAATATTAAAGTAGGACGGATACCGAATTAGACCATAATTCTCCGAAGGTATAGACATAATTTTCTCACATTTTTGTGATAGTAGTCAGGTACATAAAAACCACCTCTAGTCTTAAACCAGCTTTTAGTCTCATGGCCCTGTCTACTATCTACTTATTTATATATTCTGCCTTAATTTTGTTTGGATTCATTTTGTTTGTCAGAACAGAACAAAAGTGAATTCTCAAGACTCAACCGAAGGAAAAATTGTGCTCTGAAAACACCCACCGATGATTCTCTCAACTGCTTCCTACCTCTCCTCTCGGTCATGCATCCGCACCAGATCACGTGTGGGAACGCCGTGTTCAACTTCTTCTGAAATCGCTAGTCAATTTGGACCAGTCACTTCTCTATATTTTGATAGCCTATCAAATATATCTTCAGAACTCTTCGTTGCAGACTTCCGATTTCACTGGGTTGACACGTTTCGATTATAGAGGGTGTCACTGGTTAAGGTGTTGTCAAACTCCAAATACTAGTTGTATCGACAAATTGTATTGGAATTTGCAACCGGATGATTTCAACGTTCTTAATCTCTTAACGCTTTATAATGTTGAATAAAATGCTACAGGGATTGAAGATTCAATTGACGGGTTAAAGTTGTTTGAAAACTTGGCATAACGTACACTAGTGGTTACGAAATGGCATGACCATTAGTTTGAATTGCATTTTTTGTAACCAAGTGATCGACTTTGTCGATTGGATAGTCCTTTATTGTTCGTAGTTGCGTTAATAAATACTAGAATAAAATTAGTCAGATAAGAGTGCATTTGGCTGGATATCTTTCACACGTTCATTAATGAACACAGACAATAAGAACTGATGAGCAAGGAAGACATACTTCTCTTCTCAATGAATGGTGGATGAGTCAGTGAATATTACTCTCTTAAAGTGCTTTTTAACCACCTTGTGACTAGAAAATGGGAGTATTCACATCTGTAGACAATATGGATAGAATCATAAAAACTCTTGATCTCTGACTGATTCACTTTCTTTACAAAGTAGCGGACAGCACAAGACGAGTTATAATCAAATATGTACAAAACTATCGACCAGAAAACTGTTGTCTGATTCATGACAAGTTTATCTCATACGTGAATCATGTAATAAAGAATTCTGAAACCTAGAATAGTTGAATATCTTCAGTAGTGCACCACCAGCACGTTCAGAATAACCTCTCAGATTCAACAATTAGAATGGCACGATAACCGTGAAGATGCCACAGATATTCGGAGTTTGACAACGCTTTAACCAGTAACACCTTCTAATACGAAGCGCACCCACCAAGTAAAATCAAAAGACAGAAGTGAGGAGGTTTGAAGGTCTATTTGATAAGCTATCAATATATCGAGGATCGTCTGGTCTAATCTGGCTAGCGATTGAGGCAGATGTTGAGCACGGCGTTCCCACACGTGATCTGGTGCGGATGCATGACTAAACCAAAGAATAATTTTATTAACAAGGCTTCAAAACAGCAGAGAAAAATGAGAAGGTCGTAAGATACCCGATAAGGCTAGAATAATTGATTTGCAGCAGACATTTTATTGAGTAAAGCGTTTAAATGGTGACGCGGCAGGAGTGGCAGCTGTAACACATTTAAATATGAAGAAGTAATAGAAACTTAACAGCCTTACATAGAGACATAACTCCCTTGACAATTCTCGTAAAGATGTCACAGATACTCCAAGTTTGACAACTCTTTTGACTATGAAGTGAATAATCTTGAAGGATATTAACCCGATCAAAGCAGAAGTCACGAATGTATGTTGATGGACATTTGATTTTAGCTGGGTGGTGGTTGCAATGGAGAATACATTCATGATCTGGTGCGGATGCGTGATCGAGCACCTTCAACTAAGGTGTGTCTGTTAAAACCAATTATGTTGGCATCAACAAGTAAGAATTACAGGACTACTGATATCTGGGATTTATCTACAGCTAATAAACCAATGAATATATCTTATTTTAAGAAAGAGATATAGTAGAGATGTTTTCTATGATAAAATATATATGAATAGTCTAAATGAACACAAAATATTGCATATTTTAAAGTGCTGTAAACATGTTACATCATCTGGTTAATTAGTGAAAATTATTTGGATTGTTTTCTCTATACATCATTATTTGTAAGCTCAGTGTTTGGGTTTATGGTAAGCGTCCTGAGACTTTGTTTGATGCCCCCATTCAATTTCCTAGTAGCGGAGAATCCAAAAAAATCACTGGTTCTACAGGCGTAGCCTGCATACACTGCTCAACTTAGGATATGATTCTACGCTCGTTTGTGAAGTACGCTCGCTATTATGCTGTTATCCATTTGCAAATCTCATTGGATTAGTCAGGGGAAAATCACCTACTTAATTGGTATGTAAAGGAATGTATCATCCGTGCACAAAAAGTAAAAGATCTTTGTAGGGTCGGGTAAGATATCCTTATGACTAGTATTATCTTGGTACAATTTCTGTCATAATAGTTATGAAAAGAACAGTGATACGGTGTTAAATCCTCTCGATATTTTACCTTTATTGCTTAAATATACACCAAAGAAAATTCAACAAATCCACTCAACGTTACTGCATATGTAGTGAAATTTTGGGATAAGCTAAAATGTAGATATACCTGGTTGAATAGTCAGTTTTGCCCATTTCATCTTTTGTCATTTGTATAGAATTCTCGTTATTACTTGACAATCCCGCGATTGTTTTGTCAGGCGAACGGACCAATAATATGTCTGGTGATTCATTGAAAATGCCACAGGTATTCGGAGTTTGACAACGCTTTAACCAGTAACACCTTCTAATACGAAGCGCACCCACCAAGTAAAATCAAAAGACAGAAGCGGGGAGATCGAAGACATATTTGATAAGCTATCAATATATCGAGGATCGTCTGGTCTAATCTGGCTAGCGATTGAGGCAGATGTTGAGCACGGCGTTCCCACACGTGATCTGGTGAGGATGCTTGACCGAGCGCCTTCAGCTAGATGAGTCCACTAAAACTGTGGTCAGCATCCAATGTCGAAAACTTACAGAGCTATTTGATTTTGGGGAATTATTTACCGCTACAGATCACTCCCCCCTAGTGAGGTAGTGATGACTCTAAGACGTGGCCAGCCAGAAGTTTAAACCCAACGAGATTTTCGTTGGTAAACACTCTTCTGATAGCTTGCTAGGTTTAGCAGCGTCTGGTCGTCTTTCCTTACTATAATGGACCATGATGTACAATATAGTAAAAAAAAGGTACAATGCAGATTTTCGTTTTTCGCAACTTCATCGTTCTTTTCATCGTCTTTTCCAGTCGTCCTGGAAAAGAAAAGAAAAATATGTAAGTTCGTGTCGGAAAACACTCGTTCGCGCGTGAGAACACAAAACGGGCGAAGAAAAAGGAAAACAAACTCATGCTCACGTAATAGCGTAAAATAAGATTTTTATAATATCGTTATTTTTTTGTTTTTTTCTTTTTTGAAATAAAAAAATAATAATAGATAAGCATATTAAATTGAGGTTTTTTTAAAAAAAAATTATATATAGTACCAGGGAAAATCGAGGGGATATAAAATGTTAACTTGTGTCTTACGTGCAGTAATCGTTCAAGTGTTCTGGAAATCTTACTCTTCTTCCAGAACGCGTTGTTTTGAGTTTATTTTCGGATACTGTCGCAGTATCAACGTGTGTGTCTGCTGTCGATTGAGGCATTATAAGCGCAGGAGTTGTGTCGTGCGATTGTATTGAAGGAAAATCGACGTGAATAGGATTTCCCTCTAAATACGCTGCTTTGAGGCGATCGATGCTGATGCTTTCTTTGGTTCCGTTCTTGTCTATTATATAGTGCTTAGATTCGCGTTGAAGAACTTTGAAAGGTCCTTCATATGTTGATTCGAGAGGTCGTCGATGCGAGTCT